TTTATCAATATTTGTTATAGTTACCTCAATATACACATTGGAAATATCTACATTCTACGATTAAATTAGTACAAATAAGAATCAAATCAATACAAAATGAAAAGAAAAATGAAGCATTCCATCACCAAGCCCATGAAACGGGACGATCAATAAGAAGCTGTTATGTTCGTATTATTTTATTTTTTTACCCCGGAAGGTCAAGCACCAAAATCAGTGGGGTAAATGTCGGGAACATTTACCAGATTTTATTAAGAAAAGACAGCATTTGGGAGGGGGGGGAGGGGGGGGGGGAGCTAAACCAAACCCAAATGTGTAAATACACGGATAAAACAAACAAAAATTAAAAGCGAAAGTTCGGAATCCCAAATAGATCCGCATAATAACTAGATTCAACATTAACGGGCAAATCTTGGATCCGGTCAAAAATTATTGAGCTAGCCGTTATAAGGTTCTGGGCTGCTAGGTGATGGGCCAGCCAATTACCTTCTCTTAAAACATGAATAAAAGTCAGCCTATTGTCTTCCGCCCTAGTGCGAAATGTCAGCCCATTTAAACAATAATGAAATCTATTTAAACCTTTATGCAGATTTGCGCCAAGATATTTCATTGGAAGATTGGACTTTTTCATTCCCAGGATATTTTGGATTACTGCACTGCTGTAAGTAGCTTGCTTACCACTTATAAAGTAGCTTTTCTCCAAATTTACAGTCTGTACAGAAGCAAACTGGTATTTCTTAAGGAACTCATTAAATTTAGCCAAAGATCTTGAGTCACCATTTGTAAAAATCAAAAGATCATCTACAAAACCAAGATGAGTAATCGGACTGCCATTCATACCCAGCCAAAAATGCTTAATTTGACCCTCAACCATTCTTTTCTTGAGACTTCTTGAGAACCCCTCAGAAGCTATGATAAATAGAAAAGAAGAGAGGGGATCTCCTTGCTTAACCCCCCTCTTGGGCTGGAAAAAACCTTGAGGAGTCCCATTGATAAGAATGGAAAGATAAGTAGATTTAAGATTGGCCTCAACCAAGGAAATGAATTTACCAGAAAAGCCAAATTTTACCAACACTTCTACCAAATATGTAACACCGCCCCCAAGTAATTGTACTTTATCAAATTATGTATTGAACCCTGAGAAATGAATAAAAGCATTTTTACGTGATTGTAAATTTTTATCATTTCTTTTACGTGAATAGTAAAATTCACGTGGGGGCCCACACCGGAAGTGGGGGCTGCTCAGTACTGTCGGGACCACATATTATATTAATCTTGTCCTAGATAACATGTATATGGTGGTGGATACCCTAATTGGGCCGTGGCAATGGCATAGGGTTGACCGGTTGGTCAAACGGGGCCAAATTATCGGTATGGTCAATTTATCAGATAACAGCCTGAAAGGGATTTCGGAGACATCTAAAATTAAGTTGAGGAATGCATATTCCTTCTAAGGTCCAATAAGGATTGGGAACATGTGTTATATTTTATTTGACCCGATAAAATAAAATATAATTAAAACAGTCCGGAAAATACAACTTTCAGGGCCAAATGTACACACTGGGACACAAAGGGTTGACCTCCCACATAAGTGGGGGCCAATCCACGTTTTTGGGCTGCAAAAGAAGAGGGGATCCGCATCATGGAGCTGGAATAGGGGTGGAGAGTGATTGGGAGACAAAGTGTGAAAGCAAAGGGGACACTCCCCCATATTATTGGTGAATAAGCCAAAAAGGATATCTCCCTCACCCCACAACCCATATGCCCGGTCAACAACTCCATATTTGAGAGAGAAGCTCTGAGAATCTCCATCTCCATTGTTTCAATTCGAGCTCAAGCCAAGGTGGTCCAAAAGAGAAGATTAAAGAGGAAAAAGAATAGGAAAATGGAGGAGGATTAAGGTAATAACCTTATAATAACTTTTCCTCTAATTCTAACCTATCATATGACTTACATAGCATATGAAGGAGCCCTAGTATTGTTCTACATGCTTAGAAATGTAGAATGAGGGGTTGGAAGGTGGTTCTAGGTCCAAGAATGGACTAATTAGAAGCCAAAGTGACCGGTTCACCGGAAAATAACCTTTTGGAGGTTATTTGTATTAATATGGGTTGTATGATGATAAAACCTTGTTAGTAACTTGTCTAAGGTATTCAAGGAACTTTCACGGAGTTGAAAGGGTCTCCGGAATTGTCGCCGGAGTTCGTTGAAGTTCGCCGGAGTTTTGCCGGAGTTTCGCCGGAGCTCAATAAGGAAAGCTAGAACTTCATAAGCTTCATTTAAGGTGAGAAGACGGCTTTATGCTTTATAACTTTTGCGTGAGGCATAATATTACCTAAAGTAATCAAGGATATGTTTTATGGAATGATTAAAGATAACCAAGTGTTTGTTATGCCATGATTATACATAAAACAAAGTTGAAAAGCATGTTATGTAGGTTTGATGATTAAAAATGTGATAACTTATTATGTATGACGTTTCAGGGATACAAAATGGTATTTTTGGATCAAGGACGTCAAAAAGTACATGTGTATAAAATTTCACGTTAATCGGACTTCGTTTGGGCGGTCAAACGGGCGTTGACCGCCAATACAAAGGTGATACCCGACCGGGTATGGGTAAATACCCGACCGGGTTTTGATTAAAAATGGCTCCAGAAGCCACTGCCACACTAGACCCGACCGAGTATGGGTATAGACCCGACTGGGTCTCAAGTAAAGTTGGCTCCAGGGGCTACTGCCTCACCCTACCCGACCGGGTAAGGTTGGATACCCGACCGGGTATTGGGTTATGCTCAAAACGGGCAGTTTTGAGTAGGTTAACGTGGTCCGTTCAGGTGGGACCCGTCCACGTTGGTTACGAAGGATGTTTATATGACTATAGGGCTAGGTATTGTCCATAGTTAAGGGAATGAAAGGTTATCCATATCCAGGTTAGGGTTTGGTAAGGAATAAGGTTGGGGTTGAGCATCCCCGGGACGATAAATGATCCTGAAACTCGGTTGGGGTTGAGCATCCCCAGGACGGTAAATGATCCTGAAACTCGGTTGGGGTTGAGTGCCCTAGGACGTTAAATGATCCTAAATACTCCAGGTTGGGTTGAGTGCCTTGGACAGTAAATGATCCTAAAACACTCGGTAGTATGAATCGAAGGTAGACTATAGCTTGTGAGCTAGGCATCCGGGAAAGGAGTGAGAAAAGTCAGGTAAGAACTTTATCTCTAAAAGACTCTTTAAATGAAATGACCTACGGGTTGAGTATTTTACAAATATATATACAATATGTATCATCGGGTGGATGAGTCACACACACACACACACACACACACATATATATATATATAATATATATGTATGTATCACCCTATTTTTGGGTCTCGTGTCTGAAACATTAGTTATTCTTCATATAGCCTGCTTGTCACTAGTACTTCTATGGAGTACTGACCCCTCTGGAGGCCCTCACATTTTTCAGGTTAAGGCTAAAGTCCTACTACCTGCACCTTAGCCTAGGGTGACTGATCAAGAAGGAAGATGTGGTTCGTGCTTCCATTCTTATTTAAAATTTATAAACTGCTCATGAATATTTGAACAATGTTTTCCTTTAAACAGTTGAGGGCCTGCGTGCTCATGTTTGTCACGTGTGGCTAAATATCAAACATATTATTTCCGCATTCGTTTGATTATAATGTTGATGTTGATTGTATGAGTTTACTAATCGGTTTGACAGTAGAATCTATCGGACGCCTTGTATGGTTCAATAAGGATTAACTAATGTTGTTCTTATTGGGTTGTACGGCGGTTGTCTACGTGGCTCGGATGCGATCCGGGGCGTGACAAAATAAGCCTAAGACAGCTTGTCAAAAGCCTTTGCCATATCCAACTTTATAACCACATTAGCACCTCTAGTTTTTTTGTCATTACATTGACCATTTCTTGAGCAATTAAGATTTGATCAGTTATATCTCTTTCATTGACAAAACTAGCATGCTCTTGAGATATTATCTTAGACAACAATGTAGCAAGTCTGATAGCCAGTACCTTTGTGCATATCTTATTAGCAAAATTTGATAAGCAGATATGTCTGTAATCTGAAAAACTACCAGGCACCTCGGTTTTTGGAATTATGACCATAAAAGAACTGGAAATACCTTTCGGAAGAGGGACTCCAAGAAAAAACTCTTGGACAACCTTGACAACATCTTCTCCAACTATACTCCAGCATTTTTTATAAAATTTTCCTGAAAAACCATCAGGGCCTGGATCCCCATTCTGATTCAGACCCCACAATGCAGCTTTCACTTCTTTTTCATTGAGTAAAGAAGTCAAGAAAACATTATCCTCTTCATTAATAAGCTCTGGAATATTGTTACTGATTGTGTTACTGGTGATTGCAGGTTCCTTTTAAGCTTTAGAGACCTCTTATTCAATATATTTAATATCATCAAAAATATTCCCAAAGACATTTTTGTTCCATGCCTTCAAATATTTTTTCAGCTGTTAAAGCTTAATAACCAAGCCTTGCATTCCTCTCCCTGTGTATCTAGCTCCCCAACTCTGTCTGACTGTATCCATAAAAGAACCATGTGATAGTGATGTACTCCTAATTTACCATATTTATGATCTTGTTTTGTCACACTTTTAATATTTTATTTCTCATTTTTTAAATAAAAAGGATTGATTTTTATCATCTTGGACATTTTAATGTATTGCACACTTGTTTTGGTATATTTTTGAGTTTCAGGATAATTCGGGACGTATATTAATTTCTGAAAAGAAATTCATATTACTCCCGAGTGAAGACAGAAAAATCATCAAAGTGAAGCGGTCCTTGTTTTTAAACTCCGAAATTTTCATCAAGAGACCTGAGATTTACTTCAGAATAAACCAGACTGTCGGCAATAAAATGTACCAGTTAACTGTTGACCAGTTAACTGATCAAACAGCTATCCGGCCATAATAAATAAGTGGCCGAAAAAGAGCCAAGTTGACAAGGCTATTCACTCAATGTGAATAAGCCTCCACCGTAGAGAAAATGGCAAGAAGAAAACAAGGAGCTCAAATAATTGCATTGCATACACTTGCAAACAAAGCACTGTAGCAACCAGTGCTTATCATTTCATCAGCTTCGGCAATCAAGAAAGCACTGTAACAAATGAAGAAAATTTACAAGTGAGTAGCGGCTAGCCCTGTTTGCAGAAAGAAATCAAGAAGGTGCCAATCACATCTCATGAAGATGGAAGTAAAAGTCAACCAGAAATTATTTTCACCACCTTCATTTCAGGATTTTTGATGCTCTAGCTCCTTCTTCCACTGCTATATAAAGAGCCATTTGGGAGCTGAAAAGAGGACACCAAGTTCTGATAGAAATCATTCTTCTCTTTTCTTTAGTTTATACGAAGTATTAGTAGCCATATAATAAAAGTGATTCTGCCAAGAACACTTCCTGTATAGATTTCAGTTTATAATTCTCAGTTCCAGAATTTTAACTTGTGATATTTGGTATTGAAGTTCATTTGGGTTTATCAGTTCGTTCAATCAGTTCCAGCTTAATTCAAGGATTTCAACTTTTCTATTCCAGCCCATCTATGTTCTTCATTATTTTATGCCTTCAGGTTCTTACTTAAACACTCACTTTAATTTCCTTAATCTGTTAAATTTATTATGTCTTTCATGAATTTTGCTTTTATTTTATTTACCGTTATTATGTGTAACTAAATTAAGTTTAGGTTTGGGCAAGATGTAATTTTTATTGTTAATGTTCATACGATAATAATTGGTTAAAACTATTACTTGGTTAATTTTAGGAGTGTTGGGTTGAATATTCTAATCTGCTAAATACATTATATTGGGAAATGAATATTATTACGGGAGTAAAATTTCATTAAAATACTTTTTATTAATTCACCCACTAAATTGCTACACGGAAGTGTTAAGGAATTTAGGATAAGTTGATTTTGTACTTTTTACTGTCTTAATTTAAAATTACTGTCTAAATGAACTTGAAGAATTCAGACTTGATGCCTTTGAGAATGCCCGGCTCTACAAGGAAAGAGCAAAGAAATGGCACGATGGGAGAATCCTTAGGAGAGACTTTTCTCCTGGAGATAGTGTGCTACTATTCAACTCAAGGCTAAAACTCTTTCCAGGAAAGCTGAAATCAAAATGGTCTGGACCTTTCAAAGTTATCCAAGCCTATCCATCCGGGGCAATCATTCTGGAGGGAAATGATGGGAGGCAATTTACTGTCAATGGCCAAAGAGTTAATCAATATCATGAAGGAGATGACACAAAGGAGAAACTCACTGTTGATCTGGACAATCCTCCTTACGAGTAAAACACTCAGGTAATGTCGGGCACACGACGCTAAAAATAGCGCTTCTTGGGAGGCAACCCAAGTTTATTTCCTTGCATTTGTATGTGTGTTTTGTTTGTGTGTTTGCATTGCATTTTTTTTCCCACCCATTTACTCACCCGCCCTGTATATATTTGTCACATCGAGGACGATGTTTCATCCTAAGTGTGGGGGGAGAATACGCATGTTTGTTTGTTTGCTTGTGAATTGCCTTATCATCTCTTTAACTTACAAATCATGCATTCTATTCTTTCACATGGTATGTGGATTGTTGGCGGGACTTGTCTCTTAATAATTGGATTGAGAATCATAATTTTGAGTGTTGAGTAAAATTTTGGTCAAATTTTAAACTTTGTACAGACACAATACATCTCATGCACGCAAATGGTTATCTAGTGAAATTGTTGTTCAACATGTTTAAGATTGTGCAAAACAAGAGTGCTATGTGCTTTTATTTTCCTTGACATGATCTTCTCACTTAGCACATTAGGAAATGATATAGGCCGTTTTTCAAAAAAAAAACCATATACCTAGCCTTACCCATGTGATAAATATCCCTTGTTCACCCCTTTGAGCCATTTCTTGTAATAAGCGTTATATGCTTAACCCTGTTTTTGTTATTTTCTTTCATGACAACCCGTTATATGTGAACCTTAACCTAAAAGTCAAACACTTTCCATCCACCCTAGAATGAACTTGCATAAATTTTAATGATTTTAGAGAGTGTCATTCACCTTAAGGGAGCTTCATTTACACTTTTGTGATTACTTAGTTGTTAATATTCATTTATAGGGGTAGTTGTTCTTGTTGTATCATCATTGTACATATTATTCTTGTAAATTCTTATTGTTAGAAGCATGAAATAAGCCTTGAAAAAAAAAAAGAAAAAAAAGAAAAAAATATAAAAAAAGAAAAGAAGAAGAAGAAAAAGTGAACAAGGCTAAATGTCAATGTATAAGCTTCTCTCTTTTGTATATTTTTCTTGTACATTAAATTACTCTTTTTACTACCCCTAACTGTTGAAAATAACAAGTGTTGTATAGATTATTGTCAAAAGCTCCTACTCATTACTTAGTACCTCTTTAAATTTGTTAAATTTATGTCAAGTTCATTCCTTTTGTTTCCTCATTAATTCCCTTTGTTCATAAGCCTTTTCCCACAGACCCTATAACCCAATGTGAAAAGTCCTAATTGATCTTAATTGTGTTTTGTCTGAAATAAGTTGATAGGAAAATCTTATTTTGCATAATTTTGCATGGTTGAACAAACGAAGCTAGATTCCATTTTCACATCACACACTTTGCGTTTGTTAGAGTTAAGATTTGACCAAAACTTTTCAGATGATATGCAAAATATTTGTATGATTCTTACTACTCTTATTTTGTGACAAGTCAAGGGAATTTGATTGATCAGGTGGAGTGAAAGGAAAGTGTGCATGATTTTAGGGTTGTACATATGATTTGGCAAATTAATTTATGCTTGTTTGCTTGCTTGTGTGAAATGTAAATATTTTTGCTTGAGGACAAGCAAAATCTTAAGTATGGGGGAGTTGATGTACTCCTAATTTACCATATTTATGATCTTGTTTTGTCACACTTTTAATATTTTATTTCTCATTTTTTAAATGAAAAGGATTGATTTTTATCATCTTGGACATTTTAATGTATTGCACACTTGTTTTGGTATATTTTTGAGTTTCAGGATAATTCGGGACGTATATTAATTTCTGAAAAGAAATTCATATTACTCCCGAGTGAAGACAGAAAAATCATCAAAGTGAAGCGGTCCTTGTTTTTAAACTCCGAAATTTTCATCAAGAGACCTGAGATTTACTTCAGAATAAACCAGACTGTCGGCAATAAAATGTACCAGTTAACTGTTGACCAGTTAACTGATCAAACAGCTATCCGGCCATAATAAATAAGTGGCCGAAAAAGAGCCAAGTTGACAAGGCTATTCACTCAATGTGAATAAGCCTCCACCGTAGAGAAAATGGCAAGAAGAAAACAAGGAGCTCAAATAATTGCATTGCATACACTTGCAAACAAAGCACTGTAGCAACCAGTGCTTATCATTTCATCAGCTTCGGCAATCAAGAAAGCACTGTAACAAATGAAGAAAATTTACAAGTGAGTAGCGGCTAGCCCTGTTTGCAGAAAGAAATCAAGAAGGTGCCAATCACATCTCATGAAGATGGAAGTAAAAGTCAACCAGAAATTATTTTCACCACCTTCATTTCAGGATTTTTGATGCTCTAGCTCCTTCTTCCACTGCTATATAAAGAGCCATTTGGGAGCTGAAAAGAGGACACCAAGTTCTGATAGAAATCATTCTTCTCTTTTCTTTAGTTTATACGAAGTATTAGTAGCCATATAATAAAAGTGATTCTGCCAAGAACACTTCCTGTATAGATTTCAGTTTATAATTCTCAGTTCCAGAATTTTAACTTGTGATATTTGGTATTGAAGTTCATTTGGGTTTATCAGTTCGTTCAATCAGTTCCAGCTTAATTCAAGGATTTCAACTTTTCTATTCCAGCCCATCTATGTTCTTCATTATTTTATGCCTTCAGGTTCTTACTTAAACACTCACTTTAATTTCCTTAATCTGTTAAATTTATTATGTCTTTCATGAATTTTGCTTTTATTTTATTTACCGTTATTATGTGTAACTAAATTAAGTTTAGGTTTGGGCAAGATGTAATTTTTATTGTTAATGTTCATACGATAATAATTGGTTAAAACTATTACTTGGTTAATTTTAGGAGTGTTGGGTTGAATATTCTAATCTGCTAAATACATTATATTGGGAAATGAATATTATTACGGGAGTAAAATTTCATTAAAATACTTTTTATTAATTCACCCACTAAATTGCTACACGGAAGTGTTAAGGAATTTAGGATAAGTTGATTTTGTACTTTTTACTGTCTTAATAAAATTACTGCGGGAGCAGAATTAATTTAAGATAGTGTAATCAACTAAGTCGTGGGAACGATTAGAAGATTACCATTTGTAAATCTTTCACACATCTAAAAGTAACTAAGTTAATTAGTTAAATCTTTATTATTATGAACATCAAAATAAAATTACTCTTAGCCCAAGCCTAATTTTCTCTATATCATTAATTGTTAAATTACCAAGTATTGTGATTTATTTTACTCTCTAGCAATTTCGCATTAACAAAAACAAGTTAAAAAAAATCTATTCACTTAGCTCCATTTCAAAATGTTATCAAATTGTGATTAGCTAAAAATCAATCATTAATTCTAGTTCTCTTTTTGAGCCATTCTCTAACGGAACGATACTCACTTACTCTATACTATATCGTTACAAGCCAATTAAAACATCATTTTCATTCACATTTTTACACCATTTCACACTACACATTTTGGCCTGTCAGATAGCCACATATTTTGAAATTTAAATGGCTTAGGACCAGTCTGAATCTGATTGCTGAATTGAATTAACATAGGACAATGGTCTGAGGGGGCTTAACTGAGGTTATTAAGCTTTATTTGTTCAAAGAAATCCAAGCATTTTTCATTGAAAAGAACCCTATCCAATATTCTCCAAAGTCTTCCAGTAAATCTAACCTCAGTCCAAGTAAACCGACACCCCGAGTAGGGAATATCAATCAAATTACATTGAGAAATGCATTCTTAGAATTCCATCATACTAATTAGATTAGGAATACAAGCTCCTTTATGTTTAGAGTGATCAACAATAGCATTAAAATATCCACCCATCATCCAGGGCACAATAATAGAGGTAGAGTAATGCTTAAGATGGTCCCAAAGAAGTCTTCTTTCCACATGTGTGTGTTTGGCATATATTGCAGTAATCCATCCCTCAAAAGACCCGTTAGTCACCTTAAAATGGGTATATTGAGACTCCCATGTGACCTCAGAAATAGCTATAACATTGGAATCCCAGAAAATCCATATTTTATTCAGCGGGCTAAACAACACATTAGACAACCCTAACTCCAATTTAAAGAAGCCAGCCTTGTAGAAATCCACCATAGGCTCAATGACTATAACAAAATTAACCCTCCAGTATTTAATTAATTGAAATATCCTTGGCCCGGAGGCATCCAAGCCTCTCACATTCCAAATTATACCATTCATAAGGAAGGGGTAGGTATAGCTTGAGATTGCCTTTTGGCAGCATACCTAGTGGTCACTAGATTTATTTGCACTTGTTTCTTCCTGTTCCTTCTTCTTCCTACTGTAATAAAGTTGTCTTCCTCCCTATTTTGATCCTGATTTCTTGGGGTTTGAAACTACATTTACTAACTGTGGCACTCCTACTTCCTTCCCAGTTAATAAATGTTGAACACCCTGAGTAACTTGGACTGGACCCTCCTTTTTAAGACAATTCCTAGCTTCATGTCCAAGATGCATACAAGACAGACAATAGAGGGGTCTATTTTCATAGATAATACTCTGAGTAAAACCAGAATCCCCGGCTTGTATCCAAACCTTGTTGGCCATGGGTTTAGTTAAGTCTATCTCAACATAAACTCTAGCGATAGATGGTCTGGCTAGAGTTGTAATCGCAATATCCAATTTCAGCGGTTTACCAATGAGTCTAGCAATAACAAACAAGACCCTTTTATCATGAAAATGTATTGGCAAACCTTCAAGAGTTAACCAAACTGGAACCATAGGGGATTCCACGTTTGGTTTAAAATCAGGGGTCCATTTAGTGACCCTCATGATGTTCCCATGAATGTCCCAGATTTGATGATTCCAGCATCTAATGTAATCTTCCTCCAAATCAAACCGGATTAAAACATGCTTTTTTCCAATAATCCCAATTGAAAGCTTCCTTTAAAACCAATAATCTCAAACGATCGCCTCAAGATAGCCATGGTAGGATGTCCTTTATAAAAATATCCAACAAGAGATCGTTTGTGCTTATCAGCTAAAACCTGAATATCATTAACGGTGAAAGCCGCAGTTGGCATACCTTCGTATCTCGAAGTCGTGGCAGAAAGAGTGTCATCCGCCTTGTCTAGTAAAACAGAAACGAAGTATTTTTTATTCGCCCAGGCATTTCCTGAAGGTGGTGGTGGATCCACCGGCGGCGTACCATCTCTAGGTTTATTCGTGCTCATCTCTCCTACGCTAATTGGAAAATAGCTTTATTCAGATCAAATCGGATCCAATCAGAAAATTCAGATCAGATCAGACCAGATTAGAACCATTCAAATTAGATCAGAAAGATTCATATCAGATCAGTGCAAACCATTCAGATCAGATCAGAAACATTCAGATCAAATCAGAAAAGTTTAGACATGATTTATCTCTTTTTCTTATAATAATAATAATAATAATAATAATAATAATAATAATAATAATAAATATTATTATTATTATTGTTGTTGTTATTAGAATTATACGGAGTAATAATAATTATAATTATAGAAATAAATATTATAATTACAATTCCAATTATAATTATAGAAATAATTATAATTACAAATATAATTAAAATTATAATTATAGATATTATTATATTTAGTGTAATAGTTATAATAATAATAGTAGCTATTATAAAATGTCAATTTAATTATAATTATAATTTTTTATAATTATGATTATAATTATATTTAAATTCTATTTGTAATTAAAATTATAATTATATATATAATTTTAGAAATATTCAAATCAGATTAGATCGGAAAGATTCAGATCGGATCACATCAGATCAGATCAGAAAGATTCAGATCAGATCAGATCATATTAGAAAAATTCAGATCAGATCGGAATTTAAAAAATTCAAATCAGAAACTTTCAGATCAGGTGAAGAGAACAGCTTCTAAATAGGCAGCGTATTAAACTAAGCTATAACTAAAACCTTTTTGATAGAGTGTGAGTTCTTCAGGGCATGCATAGAGATTTCTTCTTAACAAGGTTCCCTTTTATATAGTTGTCACGAAGTGGACTTCATTCTATCCGGAGGCGGAATCAGGAATGACAAGTTATGAGAATTGGGGCTTAAGGAATTTATATAGTGGGGGTCAAAACTTAATTTTCACTATATTTTTTACTACTTAAATATATATATATATATATATATATATATATATATATATATATATATATATATATCTTTCCCAATCGATAAAAAATGAACTAATGCACGAACACATGTTGACAAATCAAATTGAAATTACTCCATCTGTCCCTAGAAACTTTGTCAACTTTCCTTTTTTAGATGTCCCACTAACTTTTCCACTTTACCTTTTAAGTACAGATTTTGTGGTTCCAACTCATTCTCTCCCCTCTGCACAAACCTTAATCACACAGTTTTTACTTTATTATTCTTCGTGCCAGTCAAACTTAGCAAAGTTAGTTATTAGGGACGGAGGGAGTAATACTCATTGTTGGACTTTGCTAATTTTCCTTTTTATTTGTCTCCAAAATGGGTCATTCAGAAACCGTCCCTTTGTGCTTTAGTACAAGGGTAAGACTGCATACATCCGATCCCCCCTTACCCCACCGTAGGTGGGAGCCGTTGCGGCACTGGGGTAAATGAAAATGAAACGAAATTTGTCTCCAAAACTTTGTCACTTTGATTTTAAAGTACTGAGTACGTGACCCTCCTTATTTCTCTCTTCTGTTTTCACAAATTTCAATTACACAATTTTTATTTTTCTTATATCAAACTCAAGTCAAAGTAGGCAAGTTTGGGTGGGATGAAGGAAATACTCCATCTGTCTCATAAAACTTTGCTAATGTTGACTTGCACTTAGATTAATAAAGTAAAAACTGTGTGGTTGATATTTGTGCAGAGGAGAAAGAAACAACTTTAATCACACATTTGTTACTTTAAATGAAAATGACAAAGTTTTTTGTCGATCAGCAGAGGAAAGTTGACCTAGTTTATACGTATTATTATCACACACTAGTAGAAAAATGGCTTACAGTGACACTTTTATAGTGACACTTTTTGATAAAATGATATTAATGATATAAAAGTGTCACTGTTTTCTAACAAAATTACATGAGCATCATGTAGTGACACTTTGATTTTTACGGAGTATATTTAAAGGCCCGCGCGCGTCACTATTCATATTACTTACGGGCCGGCCTGCTAAAGGTTATTATTATACGAAGTAAAACACCGCATCTTTTGTCTCTCCCGTTTCACACTTAACACACATCCGCTAGGGATAGAGCGAGACGCTCTGGAATCTCACTAAGATCCGTCGTCTTCTTCACTCTCCAGACGCCTGTGCGGCAACGATGCCACCGGCGGAGGGGCGCAAACTGGTGGCCGGCACATCAAGGTCCACCTACGCAGCGGCGGTAAGGAAACTCATCCCTGGCCATCTACTGCAGTCCCAACCGATCTCTTTCTTGGCCATCTACTGCAGTCCCAACCGATCTCTTTCTCGGACATCGATTAACTTTCGCTCAGTGCCAAGGGCGGTCGATTCAAAGGATTCCCTATGGTCAACTTCTCAGATTCCGATTTACAGGTTTTATCGGTTAATTTCCATTTGGCTCTTGTAGGTTCCTTCCCTAATGGACCCCCCCCCCCCCCCTATTCCCCTACTTCTGGTTTGTATCTTGGGTTTCATTCTAGAATTCCTGTTGAATTTTTTTCCTCTTGTTTCTACATTAGTTGTATCATCTCTTAGTGCTCATCGGGTCGGATCCATAGATGACCCGAATGTTCTTCCTTGTGTTGGCAATGACGCTTATTCAGCTGCTCCACCCGGTCAGCTTTCTCCACAAGTCCTTTACGTTGCACATGTCGATCTCTATTTATGCATTTCTATTTTCATCTGTATTTCCGTGATTTTGCCAACATTTCTTTTAATTATGTTTGTGATTGTAGTGCTTAACTTTTCCGTGTAAAGATGAATGCTTTTTAGTTTTTTTTATTTCACAGTTTACGAATCCTCTTTCAGTGGGTTGAGCATCTTGCAACAGAGGTCTCCCATCGTTAAGGTAGAATCTTGATCTTAATCCTGGGTCTACATACAATAGATGCCACATATGAAAGAATTTGTGATGTTTTTTTTTAAATAATGAGTACTTTGTGTACTCATAAATAAAGAACTATGATCTCCAGTTGAATTGTGTAATAAATGGAAGACTTACATAGACATTTTTGGCCTGGTGGTTTGCAGGATGATATAGTATTTGAGAGGCAAAGTAATTTATTTGCTTTGGCAATTGCAAATGTTGTGCTAATAAACATGTGAGTTCTTTGTGCTTCTCTTAAACTGATCACTTGCAGAGATTCATTATTTTTTGTGTTCATTATACTTGACAAAACAAAGGTTAGGTCTACACTATAAATGAACCTACTGCAATTGCTCACATAGTGGCTAACTGCTCACCTACTAGCTAACCATTCGTTCTACTGTCTAGTATCCTCTCCTTGGCCCTTTGTGCAAACTCCATTGAATCAATTGAGTTATATTCTGCAGAACAATATCCAAAAGGTAGCTTACCTTAGTATATTAACTTTTCTATCTTTATCTTATCTTTTTTATCTTTTTATGTTTTTATCCTATCTTATATTTTAGCTCCAATTTCACGTTAGCCGACCCCATACTCTTTTGCAACTAAGGTGGATGTTATTTTTGCAGGATTGGTTGGAGGTTGTATGCTCAGTTCAGGATCGTGCAATTTCCAAATTTGGTGAAAGACTAAGTCGGAGATACCTATCTGTCTGAGTGCGTACAACACTCTGAGTTTGGGAATTCAAATACTTAATAGTGCAAGATTCAATGCTAACTTCGATGCTAAAACATGTTTTACTCTTTTAGTATATGGAAATATGTTTAATGAGTGAGTGGCTAAATTTGGGAGGGAAATGAGCAGATCAAACCTTATTTTGCAAAAAGGGGTAAGAATTGTTTCAATCCTTTATTTTGTTGTGGGTGAAAATGCTTTTCTTGTCTTTCTTTTTCAGAGTAGTTGTGTTGACTGGAAATTTTCCAAATGACAGGTGTACAAAGTGATCTAGGAGCTGGAGAAGTTGCAACTAGTTACCTCTTCATTGGCCAAAATAGTTAAGAAGGACTGAAAGACAAGCAATTAGAATTCTGGTTTCTACTCAAAGAAAACTTCACGTTGTTCCTTTTACTTACTTAGTTCTAAACAATGACAAATAATTTAAAATTTTCTTTTCTTAACCTATTCAAAATGATTTATAATGTCGGCAGTTACTTTTTGTGGCATGTATGTACGAGTGTGCATGAGTAAGTATTAGAATTGTGAAGATGTCCTTTTCGAGTCTGTTCATATTTTCTTTCATTTTAAAGTCATCAACTTGATTATAAATCTCATGGGTTGTAGTAATAAGGAATTTCAACAATCAGTCAAGGATCTGAAAGAGACTGCAGAGGAGCTGATCTAGGAGCTGATCTAGGAACTGGAGAAGTTGCAGCTAGCTGCCTCTTCATTGGCCAAAATAGTTGTCTTTGTATTGACAAGTGTACCAGTGATCTAGTAGCTTTTTGTTCTTTATTATTTTTTGTTGTTGGGTATGCCCCTTTTATTAATTTAGCATGTACATTCACATGTGTGAGAATTTTAGATATAATAAAAATGTTTGAAATTTTGGTTATTTATTAGTACTAAATTATATATGTGTGTGTACATATATATTGCAATCAATGTATCATGTGTATGCTTTTGGAGTGCTGAAACAATACAAAATAAAGTGATACCAAACAATACAAATCAATGTATCATGTGTATGTTTTTAGTGTCACTAGAGTATATGATGTAAAAGTGTCGCCGGATAGCTATGTCGCCAATGTGTCACTATATTGTGATATTGTAGTGTCACAATTCTGTGACACTTGTAGTGACACTTAAAAAGTGTCACATGTAGTGTCACTAGCCCCCACTTTCAGCGACACTTTTTTAGTGTCACAGAAACTTTCAGTGACACTAATTTGGTGTCACTGTAAGACATTTTTCTAGTTGTGACAACGGTTGATAAATGGTGCGTGAAGTGAGTAGATAGCAACATTAATGGATGAGCCCCCAAAGTGAGCTAGTACTAACTCACAGATGACACAGGGTGGCTCGACAACTAGAATCTAATATAATGCTACCTGCGTGGTCGTACGTCTTAGATTACTATTAATTAGCTTTATTAATTACTCAGAAAAAAAACACCAAGTAGTTTGATGACACGTCTTGTGGTTAATTAATTACTAGTATCAGTTGCCTGGTCTGGTACACGAACCATAATAAATTCCCCCACAAAGAGTGCATGGCCTGCAATCAATCTTAACAACCACACGCTAATTAATTAGGGAGAATATTATCCGAAATAGGACTAAAACAGTTTAAAAATTCCAAAATAAGGTTGTCATGTTTTTATTCTCAAAATATGATTATTTACTGTCATGTTTTGACAGTACCAAATTTCAAACATAGTAGTATTTTCTAAACATGACACTAATTAATCCTATTTTGAGAATAAAAAACATGAAAAATTTATTTTGGAATTTACAAACTATTTTGATCCTATTTCGGGAACTATCCCTTAATTAGGATCAAATCCTTGGGTTCTATTTATGTTGTCCACCACTACTATAGATGTAGGTTGCCCACTTCCTTATGGCCTTCAACCTACCTGAATTTAGCGGTCAGAATTCAACATGGATTGTTCCGTCCATCCACTTGTATTTGAGCCTTTGACTAATCAACCCTAAAACATCTCATGCCTCAACCCAACAATACATTTAGAAGATTGTAAATCATGCGCACTAGAGCTCATTCCCAGCACACAAGAACTATAACTTCAACAAAGTGTTGCAGTGTAAATCATTGATCATTACTTCAATTTTCTCACCATTCGACTAACTGATGAGGATGAAGTAATGTTAATTACACTGTATCAAATTGATTTGCAATTTACAATTTTAAGGTTTAGAAAAAAAAAGTTGGCGATAAGGTTTAGAAATTATAAAGTTAAATCTTACAGATAATTATATTAACTTTAGTAAATAAATTTACCTATGTAAAATTAATACTGAAAGTTCTATAAATCGCAAAATCTAAATAAATAGAAATTTAATATCTTCAATAGGTTAATAAAGCATAGGTTAATAAAAAATAGATTAATAAAATAAAATTATGATGACAACAAAAAGTATAGTTTGCCTACCATTATAAAACAAAGGAAATATCGATCGTAGTATGATGTTAACTGTTAGTAGTTTTGTATCATACATTATGTTGGGCTAATTTCATAATCGTAGCTGTTTGGATTCACATATTTGACAAAATTAAATTACATTTTTACATTTGTGGTGGACGAGAAACGTGTCGTGGGTTTAGGGAAAAAGTTGTAGTACAAATTTTAAACCTTGTTTGATGCAAAAATAAGTCCGATCGGGTCAGGTAGACGCATGTTCTATATATGTGAGTCTGCAATTCTATATATATTTGGTCTAATGTGGTTTGATATTGTATGTTTAAGTCTTATCTGATCAGGTCTGATCTAGTCTTGTCTGTTTAAATCTGATCTGGTCTATGAATAGAAACCAGTCCTATTATAAACATTAATCCTTGTGATATTAGTAGTTATAATAAAATTATGATGTTTTTTTGGACTCAAATTTACTGGTCTGGTCCGGTATGACCTGATTTGAACCGGTCTGGTCTGGTCTAGTAATTGTCTGGTCTTTGTGTATTTTATAGCTATGGAAGTCTGGTCAAGTCTGACCTGGTCTGGTCTGGTACTGAAAACAGTCCAAAAGAAAACATCCTTAATGTCCACCTTAAACTACTCTCTATTTGATAAAGCAATGATTTTTTTCTAAAATTTGCAGACACCCCTACAGTTGTTGCAAGCTTCCGGTTGTATTTATTGTGAAATTGGATAGCCCTTTTCAGATATGGAGGGTAAGATTTTGCATCCGGATGTAATGTCTTATAACGTTTGAGTCCCGTTACAAGCTTTTGAGGCGAGTCATAGTTTGTGTTGATTGGGTAGATATAATGTCTTATCCTGAAGCGTTTTTTATTGACTTCTGGTCATCAAGTTGGCCTCGGGGGGGATCTCTTAGGTAACATGTTCCTTAGATTCGATCCGCTATCATATGTGCCGCCTCTACTTGTCGGTCAGTATCTGAGCCTTCCGACAATAAGTCTTGGATCTCTTTCTCACCTTTTTTCTCTTGGTGAGTTACAAAGATTCCCATCTCATCATATATTTTTTCAACCAAATTTTCTGTGTTCTTAGAAACTCCCTTGTATTTCTTCGCTAGCTCTTTGCAAATAAATGGGTGATGTCTATATTTTTTGCAATGAAAGCAAAAATTTGGGTAAGTTTCATACACCACTGATTGCTCAATAACCTTCTGGGATAGTAGACATATGGTATATACCAAAATAATCTTTTTTTAGTTAGTATAGGTATATGATGTGTTCTGAGTCCACCTCAAAGTTAATTCTCAGTCCGATCCAAAGTTAACTCCCAGCTTCAGCCCACATCCCAGCACTTACCCGCGCTTCTCGGCCTACTGCTTACACAAATTAGAGTTGCATCTGCGATTGAAGTCCGAAGAGGGTGAAGGAGCTGGCCGAGCTGCGAAGTGAACCTACGAGAGTGAAGCGAGCCCGCGCCGCCTACGTTGTCCGCCACTCCGCCCACTTGTGTTGTCCACCACCGCCGGTCCGCCCTTCTTCTCAGTCCGCCCACCTGCGCCTCCCTCCAGGTAAACTCCAATTCTTCAAATTCAATTTCTATTTTAGAGTTTTGATTTTTTTGTTATTGTTAGATTGTAAATGTGTTAATTGTTATTCTCCAAATTCTATTTCTTTTCAGTACATAATTAAATAGTGTTTAATTCATTCTAAATTTAGAATGATTAAAGATAGAATTAAAGAGTAGAAAATGATTTAGCTATTATACAATTGAAAATTGAGAATACTTATTTCTTTTATGTACAAGTGTACAATGTTTGTTTTTTCCTTATTAGTTACTCCCTCCGTCCCGCTAACAATGGAACAAGAGGAAGTGTCACACAAATATATAAAAAGCGTTTTATGCGGTTGATATTAAATTGATAAAGTAAGAATAAAGTAAGAATGATTTAGAGCCACACAAACTTTACCAAATTTGGTATGAGACAATCTTAGTAGGACGGACCGATAAGGTAAAATGGGACAATCATAGCGGGACGAAGGTAGTGTATTTTTTGTATAAGTAACTAAATGGGAGATGATTTTCTTGAAGATTTATTGACGATCTACGTTGAACGAGACTTTGTTGATCATATAGATGTAGATTCTATTATTGATGAATTTTATACTTTGAAGTCGCGTAGGGCACAATTTAAATGATGTTTTGATGAATATTTAAAGTGTTGACGACTTGACTTATTATTATTTATGTGTATTTCAATTTTTTCCCCAGCCCATCCCATTGTGACTTTCCGGATCCGCCCCTGCAGGGGCGGAGCCGGTACAAAGAATATTTTTGGAAATAAATTACACAGAATTTTTTACTATAAAATTTTAGACATTTTAAAATTTGGGCTTGGCCGGGGCTAGGGTTGCCCTTCGAGCTACGCCTCTTGCTAGGGGAGGCTATCCGTCGGAGAGGAGAGGGGCGTGGCGGTTGTACGTATGTGGCAATAGCCGGCTGCGGTGACTAGCGTTGTTCAGACGAAGTAACTATAACTAGTCGGTTCGGGTAAATGTAAGTAGATGATTCGAGTAAATATAATTGTAACTAGTCTATCGGATAACTGTACGTAACTGATCTAGTCCGATAACTGTAACATGCCAGACTGGATAACTATAATTGGGGAGAGTTTAAAAGCTTTATAGGTCTCTATTTTGGAAACATTTAAAAGCAGTTTCATTTTTGTCTACGAGTTTTCATTTAGTAATATTAGTAACAAAACTCTTATACTTTTAGATCACAAAATAGTAGTGTGCCAAAAAATAAAATGACAAATCAAACATTGTATATTCTAGCTAGTAGAGGTGAACTCAGTCCCGAGACCGGGATCGGACCAAATTCGCCCGATTTTGAATCGAGAATGGGACTGGAAAATAAGATTCTAGTTTGGGACCGGAACCGGATCGGTGGGAAAGAGGTCCCAATCCCGGGATTCCATTTTTTAGATCGGGACCGGACGCGGCTGGGATTGGATCCATTTTTATTTTTCTGTTTTTTTTTGCTATTAAACTATTGCAAAACATTTCATAAGGGTTGCGGGTCACCATTAAAAAGGGTTGAGGGTCCATTTAAAGGAGGTGTAGATGAGGGTAGAGAGGATAATAGATAGTACTTCGTATAAAAGTATATTAAAAAAATAAAAAACCCGAGAAGGGACCGGGACCGGTTGGGGATCGGAACCGGAAATAGAGTTTCTCGTCCCGAACCTCCATATATTTTTTTTAAAGAAGTCATTTTTGGAGGAGAAATTGGCCCGGACCGAGATCAAGTCCCTTCCTAATTCCTAATACGATCATTGGAAATTTGTTGTATGTTTGTGACAAAAAAGGATATGTTATATATTTGCTTAGAACTTTAGGTTATGTTTGACACTATGACTTGAGAATAGAGAGTAATGGCTAAATTAAGAATCATTG